AAATTCCAACATCTATGGGGAGTATGGTTGAAATATTATGGGCCCAAATCGTAGAGAGCTAGCTCCGATGCTAGACCACAATATAGAAGATACGATTCATACGTCCTGATTTCCTTCTTTCCTTAATCCCTCCTCCTTCTAATGGACACACAGCAATGTGATGTCTATTACTCTTTCCTTGTCTTCCATTTCTCTACTTTCCTTTCTGGATTATTCTTATGTTGTTAAAAAAAATAGATGGGTCTAACTAAACGTCCTGTGCCTACCCAAATTGCCTGGCATGATACATTAATCGGAAATGAGCATTGTTACAGCAATTGTTGACTGTATGGATAAGCCTTTTCTGCTATGTAAAATGCCAGAAATGTGAGATTAATGTGATGCTTATTTGATTATTGTTGTCATTTATGATGGACCTGTTTCTTAATAAACAATTATTGTTGAAAAAAATTAAATTGGACTGAAAACAAGCAGTGCAATGAAAATCCTGTCTCTAAACTGAATGTCAGGAGAATCCTTACGGGTCTGTCAATTTAGCGGACTACTACTACTACTACTGCACAGGCTAATTTTTGGCAGAAATAAATGCTTGATTAAGAGTAAGAAAGCAACATTAGAAATGAGGAAAAACAATGGCTTTAACTGAGACAGCACAAAAATAACACTTTATAGGATAAACCATGAATAGGTAAAATAAACCTGTTTCTATTTTCACATATTCTGAACAAGCAATAAAAGCACTTTAAAACAACCCGCATTACCCTTGCAGCTATATGCATTGTGGAGAAATTAATTCAAAGTTGACAACAGAAGCCCTGAAATCTTAGCTCTTTTGCTATTACTTTATATTCTACCAAATAATTTGCAGGCTGCCATCCCTCTATATGCCAACAGGAGGCAGAGACTTCTGGATAGAATCGATGAAGGACCTCCGGACAACGGTACCATCGAGTCAAGATCTTCAGGTTTTTCTCGTGTGCTGTACTAGCAATGGAGAGGGAATGAGTGAGGGTGAATGACTTCATCCAGTCCGCCTCCAACAGAGGTTCTCCCAGTTCCCTTTCCCACACTGCGGTATAGGCCGGCAGGTTAGGGGAGGCTAGGGAGGAGAGGATAGAGTAGAGGAGAGAAACCGAGTGGATAGAATTAGATTTTTGAGTGTAATGGTCCGCTTTAACAGTAATCTTAACTTTATTTTCATAATGTGTTTCTCTAAACTGAATTTTCCCCTGAGGAAATTAATGTTTATCATAACTAACCCTATCTACACTGTGCTGGCAGATTTCATGATCAGTTGTAAACTAGATGTGAACACTAAATATAGACGATGGTTTTCGATCTGGGTCCGAATAGTAGGTGCCACACCCCTAGAATTTAAAAGAGTTAATTTTAATTACATTCATACTATTTTAATTTGGATTGTATATCTAGCCTTTGTTTTTAATGAATGTAATTAAAATTAACTCTTTTATATGAATTTCTTTGTGGAGTAAGTTCCTTTGGTGCTCTCAAAACCCCACTTTCTGTCCTTGTCGAATTTAGATGTGAACACTGTCTGTCCTAACAATTGGCGAAAGCTGAACTCCAGGATAATTAAATATTATCGAAATACAAAACAGAGATGTACAAATCCCAGGAGCTCCGTGTGCTGCCTCCTAATCACAGTTGCCTCCTAACTTTTTTTTAAAAATTCTTTATTTTCAGTCTTTCATTAGTACAGAGGAAGGTAAAGAAAATCATACAACGCGTGTTAATACAGTAGTTACAGTAATATTGCGAGGAACTCATACATTAATTAACAGTTTTACAGTTACTCGAGCCCCAACGAAGTTATGCAACTGGGTCACTCCAATATGCAATCGAGTGCAACCGTTCAAGGACTAGAGGTGATAAAGTACGGTGTGCTTCGTGCTATAGTGTCCTTCGGTATATAGGAGGCTCTTGGGACCAAGTATCGGTAAAGACATAATTTTATCTAGTAATCAGTTATTCTGAAGCCGTTAACAAGGCAGCACAGAGAAGAAGAGGGAGGTGGAAGAAAAGAGGGACTCAGGACCAAGAGAAGAGATAGAAGATAAGGAGCAGAATAAGATGTAATGTACAGCAGGGACCCAGTCAGGTGGTAAGGGGAACACAGCATTGATCCCCGGAGTGGTGAGTGTCTGGCTACATCTGTAGCCTCTTGAATTTACATCTTCTCTGACATGTCACGATGTCTCACTCCACCATAAGCGCGCCATACTCTGGGGAGTATAGGTATTCCAACCAGTAAAACCAGGTTTTACAGAATGTGCTGTCGGCATGGTGCAGAGTCGCAGTTAGCTCCTCCAATACCCGTATTTCATCCACCCTATGGAGCCACAGTGGGACTGTGGGTGGGTCAGGGCTTTTCCAGCACAGAGCCCTTCCCTGGCTGCGTTGACCAGATGGATCAGCAGGGATGCACGGTATCTGGTCCGGGATAGTGTGGACGAGTGGAGCAGCAGGGCAGCCGGGTCCCCAGTAAGAGACACCCCCGTTAGTAGTTTGATAATCCATATCCTAGTAATCCTAGTAATCTCCGAGGCGTGAACAGGACCAGAAGATGGGGAGGATGGTGCCGTCTTCCTGTCCGCATCTCCAGCATGTCGGGGGGTTTGAGGGAACATTTTGTGGAGCTTGGTGGGGACAAAATACCATATGGTAAGAATTTAGTTGCCAGTTTCATGTATAGAACTAGCCGTAGAGGCTTTATGGGCAAAGTGGAGTATGTAGTCCTTTTGGTCCTGAGTGAAGGTGGTAGCTAAGTCTCTCTCTCACTTTGTCAGGTCGGTTGTCAGTGCTAGTAGGGCATAGGCTTTAGACAACCCATGGTCAACGTACTTGCCTACTAGACAAATATCCACAAACGGTGTTAGGTCTGTGCGTGGAGGTGGGGAAGTGCTCAACCTGGAGAGGAAACTACAGAGCTGGAGGGCCTGCCATCGCAGTAGGGGGGGGGGGTGTAGCCAGATTGGTCAGTACCTCCAGGCTCAAATATTCCCGCAGAGGTCGAAAATGCCCAGTTCGGAACCTGTTTGATGCCACTAAACAGGATAAGGAGCAGTCTTCTATGCCGGGGACAAAACTGGGGTCTCCCACGACTGGGGTCAGTAGAGAAGGAGATGTGCTGTCTGGAAGTACTGTGGGCGTCATTTTGAGTACGCGGATTGTGACACCTGTGAGAGGGTGAAGAAGGATTTCCTGAGGAATAGGTTGTGTAGTCTAGAGCAGTCCTGCCATCTGCAAGGGGGAGGCAGTCTGTTCAATTTACAACCATCGCTTGTCGGGCCTCCTAACTTTTGAATTTTTTCTCTAGTCTAGTCTTGGAGCTCAAAAAGTATCTGTACTTGTAACAGTCGACAGTACTTGTACCGAGTACGGTATCCCTAGTGGATACCAATCAGATTCTTCTGAGCCTAACGGGTATTCTGAGCCTAACAGGTTCAGAAGTTCTTTAGCAATACAATACAGGTATTACAACCAATACAGGTCAGATCAAGACCTAGACCAAAATACAGGTCATATCATGAACTAGCCCGAAGCAAGAACAACAAAACACTAATGTTTCAGATTAAGTCCAGAGTACTTTAAACAGATGGGGCGAGTTGAGCTGGCTGCTGAAACCCCAAAATAGCCACAAACACAGCAGAGAGAGGCAGAAACTAAGGATGGCAGAAACCAAAAGACACACACTCAGACACAAGCCATTAAAGGGAAAAACACACCAGGCTTGTGACATTGGTGCTGTAAATCTAGACCCTTTGTCAAGCTGTGAGCCACACGGTCATGCCCTATACAGAGGATCTGTGTAGGCACTGTGAGCATTTATAGTGTGTCAATGGCCACATGTGTCAGTGTTAGGTTTGGTACATGGATATATTTTGACTGCATCGGGGGTATTAGAATTTTTCCTATTGATTTGTACACTTAAAAAGTAACTCCACTTTGTTGAGAAAAAAAATCAATTTCTCCTGGGTGATTAATGTACATAACAAGAATTTAACAACCTTTGTTACAGAAAGCTTTTTTTTCAGCATGTCCTTCCTAAATCGATTCCTGAATGGGATGGTCTGAGTTCAATATAATCAGCTGGTAGACTATGTTCTAATAAGGAAAGTTGCAGTTTCTGCACCCCTTTAGAAGTAATTAGCCCTTAGGAAGTTAACAATGTCACCAAAAATGACATTTCTATTGCTTATTTCAATAAATAATTGTGAAATGTTATTTTTTAAAGTGGAGTTTCCCTTTATTTCAAATACACTGAGTGGCCAGATTATTATGACCACCCCATCAGTACTTCGTTAGGCCACCTTTTGCCTTCAATACTGCGGCGATTCTTCTTGGCATTTACTCCACGAGATGTTGAAAGGTGATGCGAGGAGTCTGACGCCATGCCTGATGAAGTGCACTGTCCAGTTCTGTGAGATTTGAGGGAGAATTTACCTGGCTTAGGTGGCCCCCACAATCACCAGATCTCAATCCAATTGAGCATTTGTGGGACGAAGTTGAAAGAGCCATCAGGCAGCTGGTTCCACAACCATCAAATCTCACAGAACTGGACAGTGCACCATCAGGCATGGTGTCAGATTTCTCGCATCACCTTTCAACATTTCGTGGAGTCAATGCCAAGAAGAATCGCCGCAGTATTGAAGGCAAAAGGTGGCCCAACGAAGTACTGATGGGGTGGTCATAATAATAATCTGGCCACTCAGTGTATATGTTGGGATAATCTACAAAGCAAACATAAAAACACTCTGGTTTTCAAGAGAGTTAAAAGGTAGGAAAAGGCACAGAGAATCAAGTGGTTAATCGCAGCCCCATCAGCTGTTTGCCACATAGTTTGCACCCCAGTCCTCAGGGGTTTACACAGAGCTTACCGTACTTTCTTCACAGGACAAAGCACAGGTTCACTAGGCAGCACAGAATACCTTAAATCTGGGGAAAACATATGATATGGGTAGAATCACTATTGCGTATTGATAAAAATAATGCTTGTTTTACTAAAGGCCATTAACCATGCTGGTTTTTAAGCTCAGGTCTTGTTGCTGTGACATACTCTTTGATCTAAACCTTTTGAAAGTAAAGTTTAAATGTCGTCTGAACTTTGTCCCCAAAAGAGCATACAGGAATGGGTTCATGCAACAATGAATGTAAACAATAGCTTGACAGATATGAAATGTATACTGTAGAGGGTTGTTGCAATGTGCAAACATATCAATTTGCTCTTTGAACATAAGAAACATAAGTATGTTGTATGGAGTCCAACAAAGAAAAAAAAGTACAGCAATGACTGATATAACTTTTAGAACTCTTGATTTTTTTCTGATATGGCATTTGGACAATTTTACCCCTATTCCAAGATAGCAGAGCAGAATAATAGCTAGAGGACAAATGTAAAACAAAATAAAATGTTTATAATGGCCTACAATAAACCACCAGTATGCTTGTTCTTTAACACTGTGAGCTTTACAAACTGCTATCCCATAATCGTTTGCTACTTCATAATAGTTGATGTCTGGGATACTGAAAAGCATACTGAGTAACCAAGCAAAGCAGCTTATATAAACAGCACATTTGACTCTTGATCTTGAAGTTGTAGACCAAGAATGAACTATGGTAAAGTACTGATCAATTGTTATTAGTGTAATAAAAATAACAAAACTTTGGAGACCAATCTGAAAAGCAGCTACATGCATTTTGCATAATACCTCTCCAAAAATCCAATCATGAGTATGAACAATTGCTATGAAAGGCAATGTAGTAGAGAATATTAAATCGGAGACAACCAGGTTCAAGAAAAAAATATTAGTGACTGAATGAAACTTTTCCTTCTTAACCAGAATAACTAGAATAACACTGTTACCAATCACACTTGCAAAGAAGAGTATACAGAAAAGAGAAGATATATAAGATGATAAAAATGTTTTAGTTTCTTCTTGTTCACATATTGGCTCTGGTTGCATTGTGCCGGAAGTGTAACTGTAATCCATTGCATTTGTTGAAGACTCCTCCATTCTAACTGGGAGAAAAATATTTAATTAGAACAAATCATATTTCAGGTGTAAGTACAACTCTAGTAAAAAAAAATGGCAATACAGGCATTTAATCTTGGTTATCTTTTACAGCTACTTATGCACCCCAACTGTAATATACGAATACTGGCCACAACTAGGAAAATGGTGCTTTGCCCTATCTCTCCCTACAAAGTGATAAAGCCAAGTTATACTGAAAGCTAATTTACTTTAGTCAGAAGGTTTTATTGAAATGGATTGTATGGAGTGTGACTCATATGTAGGGATGCACAGATACCATTTTTCCAGACCAAGTACCTGCTGATACCAATTACTGATACCTTTTTTTAGTGTCATGAGACAGTTTTTCTAAAACAATACAGACTAATGATTTTAGGACAATGATAAAGCACCAGGGCATGGTCACAGCTGTGACCGCTGCAACCCTGGTACCGACCGCTGCAACACTGACTCCAAGCTGTAGAGCAGGGGTGCCCACAATTTTTTGTGTTAAGATCTACTTTTTATATGACCAGCTTAATGAGATCTACCAACGATAGGCACCGTAACGCACCTTCCGCAACAGAACAGCGAGTGCGATGAACGCACTGTACTATTGTGAATGGGCCCTTAGTCAGACCTAGCACTCTTATCAGAAAAAAGGTAAACCATGGGACTATTACCTGTAAAGGCCATACTCCTAAAAAAAATCCTAAAGTTCCTAATCTCAGTGTGTAATAGACATGTGCAGGGCAAAAAAAATTGTTTCGGTTGAAACAAATGTTTATTTGTTTCATCAATAGAAAAACACTTTGTAATGCTGTTTCCGATTCGGAGGCAACGAGTCTCCGAATCCGAAACTGCACAAAGAGACTGCAGAACAAGCAGGGGCCAGTGCGGCCACCAGTGTGTTCTGCGCATGCGTGCCGCCATCTTGGAGTATATTTTAGTATACTAAAATACCAAGATATACTCCAAATGGCAGCGGGCATGTGCAGTACCCGCCGGCGGTCAATAACAAATTTTTATCTGATATCATATATGGATATATATATATATATATGCAGGGCATGGCTCTCAGACTTCCTCAGAGTAGAGCGCTGCATGCTGTAGGAGTCAGGAGCTTGGCAGGGATAGAGCTCTACCTGCTGGTCATGTCTGAGAACTGCACCCGGCCAGGATCAGTTGAGCTCCAAGATAAACGGAGCAGCCAACTATAACTTCTGATCGCAATCTACCAGAATTAGCTTTGCGATCGACTGGTAGATCGCGATCGACCTTATGGGCACCCCTGCTGTAGAGGAACTACAAATCTTACAATAAATTATACAGCAATGCAGAATAATCTCAGCACTGGCTATAGAGGACTACAGCAATGCAGAATAAAACCATTAGCTATAGAGGACTACACATACTAGCAATACAGCAATGCAGAATAATCTCAGCACTGGCTATAGAGGACTACAACAATGCAGAATAATACCATCAGCTATAGAGGATGCGATCCCAGCAAAGCAAAGCAAAGCATATGTACATATGCTACATGATATAAATAGCTAAGTGAATTATGTGTTACCAACAAAGCAACGATATGTACATATGCTACATGATATAAATAGCTAAGTGAATTGTGTTCATCCCAAACCATTCTCTGCTGCCCCCCCCCCCCCTAGGGGTTGCATTAAACCTAACGATATACTTACCCTTCCGGTGCTACATAGGGTTGCCGTTGCTCATATACTGGGTGTGATGTGCAGCAGCTCCCTCTTAGCCTTATCCACACATGAGGCAAATAGAGGCTCAGCTGTGATCTGATACCAATCCATCCCGAGTGGAGGCCATATACGCAGTTGCGATCCATTAGAGACATGCCCCCAGGGGGCAAGATATTACATGGACATGCTGGAGGTCAGGTCTTAGTAACCCGCTGGACTCAGGGCTTAGTAACACGCTGGACACAGGCCTTAGTAACCCGCTGGACTCAGGGCTTAGTAACACGCTAGGCGCAGGGCTTAGTAACGACCTAGACGCAGGGCTTAGTAACGCTCTGGACTCTGGGCTTCGTAACGTGCTGGACGCAGGGCTTCGTAACGCAATGGACGCAGGGCTTAGTAACGCGCTGGACGCAGGGCTTCGTAACGCGCTGTACTCTGGGCTTAGTAACGTGCTGGACTCTGGGCTTAGTAATGCGCTGGATGCAGGGCTTAATAATGCACTGGACGCAGCACTTAGTAACGCGCTGTACGCAGCGCTTTGTAATGCGCTGGACACAGGGCTTAGTAACGCCCTGGACACACCCTCACACATATTTGAGACCCCACACAGCCCACCTGAGAGTGACCCTGCAAAGCACACAATAGATGCTGCCCAGCCCATCTGAGACTCTCAGGAGGGCTGGTCTCAGGTGGGCTGGTCAGGGTTGCATCTCCCTCCCAGCTCCTCTTACCTGCTCCTGCTGTCTGTACACCCTGCCTCCTCTGCCTCTGGACTGGCCGGAAATGATGTGATGTCACTTCCGGCCAGCCTGAGATCAGAACACCGGACTGGCGGCACTGCTGGGGCTCCAGCCTCCTCCTAAGCCGCTGGATCGGTAATGCTGGGGCCCGGCCCTGCTAGTTTAGTTTTAGTTTTCGGAATTCAAATGTATTCAAATCTATTTGGATGGAATTAGCTCCATCCAAATAGATTTGAATACATTTCATTCCGAAAACTAAAACTTTGTATCAATCATAATTCCGAATATCGAACAGAATTTCAGAAAACAAAAAAAAAATCCAAATGGAAACAAAATGAAAACAAAATTTTCAGCCGTGCACAAGTCACTAGAATTGTTTTCATTTCCTTTACATTCTGATTCAAGGACAGCAAGTGATGGAAAATCTCCCAAAATGTAACTTGGCAGGGGTTTAAATCCTTCCTAAATCTATCTAAAACTGAAAGAAGGTTTTGACTTTATATATAGCTATTTTATTTCAATCATTTTAGGGATCTGTATATAGTAGACTGTGTTGCATTTCTCCTGAATGTTAGGGAGACAGATGAACGTATGGACACACTCACCTTTTGCTTTTTCAAGTATAGCAGAATATTTTTGCTCCTAGACCACGCTTTCACACACGGGTTCCCACAAGGTAACACCTGTAGAGTAAAGGTGAATAAAGGTGGTAAGGTTGAATAAAGACTCAAGTTCATCCAGTTTAACGTGTACCTACGACTCCCACATCTTTGATAACTGAAGTTACCAATGCTCTCAGCTGATACCACTAACTGAAAAGAGTTCCATATGCTTACTGCTATGACAGTAAAAAAAATCCTTTAGGACTTGTTCACACCACATATACACGTTCCAGCGAGGTTAGCTCCCCCCCTGCGTTCTGGCGGTGCCTTGAAGTTAATTGGGCTACGACCCACATCTCGTACCTGGGTACCAATATCACCCCGACGGTGGATAAGATTTTTGAGGCCAATTTCCCTTCCTTCTTATTAACACCAGAACGCGTGGCACATCAGTGCCTGCGTTGCAGTCCACTGCGATTGGTAAAAATGGTGCGTGCACAATTTTTTCCGACCGCACCTGCCTGGAACGCAGGCATTGTTGTCCACGCCTTCTGGTATGGGCGATCGCATTGCAGGTGGGGGGAGGAGGGGGGCTTCAATGCTCCCTCCAGCCTCCCCCTATTGCTGGGTCCCAAGAGGAGCACCTCCTAGATGTGTAAAATACTCAAAATAGTTTTTTTGTTTTTGCCTACATGTTCTTGGCTCCCATGTTTAATGTTTCAGTATTAAACCACATCTGCCATAATGCCATAATGCTGCCATTGCTCAGGGTCTTGTTATAGTGATTCTATCATTCTTAGCTTAGCATCATCCGCAAACACTAAAATGTAACTATTTTCCAACCTCACAAACAAGATACCCAGAACTGGTTCCTGGACTGAACCTTGGGGTACTCCGCTCACAACCTTAGACGATGCAGAAAATTAGCTGTTTGTATCCTTTGGATCTGTTCCTGCAAGCAATTTTCTATCTATGTACGTACAATTTCATCAATGCCAATACACCCTAGTTTGCTATAAACGGCTTGTTCTTTGAGAACTGAGAATTTGTTTGCATTAAACTTTCTACACTCCTGTTTTTTTTAATCTTTATTTAAATTTTTTTTTAGGAATGATAAGGACATACAAGAAGTGTAATAGAAACATTATGGCACATTCTAGACATACATTCTCACATAGGGATAAAAGGGTTAGATGTCGTGTAATGGCTCCCACAACATTTGTTTGCCATATCACTGGTTCGCCAACCAGTGATATGTAGGGTATAAAACCATCCAAACAGACAACTGCATCGGCTGGGCTTATGTGCGAGCCTCTCATAGTCATCCAGCATAATCCCATCGAGGACCAGAGGGTAGGACTAGGGAACATAAGAAAAGGGAGAAGCAGATCAAGGAAGGTGGAAGAATATTGTTTATTCACAGTGCAAGAGCACCCCAATACTAGTCGCAACAGGGGGACGGCACTGCGGCATGGCGCGTGTGCTACATTACTCAGAGAGCAAGGTGAGAAACTCTGCAGAGTGTACGTACTCAGTCCAATAGAACCAGGATTTGCGGAACTGTGCCCCCCTATGGTGGAGGTCCGCAGTCAATTCCTCCATAATACGCATTTCATCGACCTTGCGCAACCAGAGGTGGAGAGGTGGCGGGTCTGAACGCTTCCAGTAGAGGGGTATGCATGCTCTGGCGGCATTAACCAAGTGGATTACTAATTGCGGTATTTACTTTTAGACATTGGCGCGAGATGGAGAAGCAGCGCTGCGGGATCTCCCATCAAGGATATCCCGGTCAGACGCTCAATCACTGGGATTGATCACTGCAATTGATCACTGCGTTCCAAAACTGTCGAATGCTCAAACAGGACCAGAAGACATGGAGCATCGTTCAGTTCTTTTGATTGCATCACCAGCACACTGGTGACGTGTGAGGAAACATCCTGTGAAGGGTGGTCGGTACACCCTTCCTTGTGAGCGAAGTGTAAGATATTCCTGAGAGAAAGAGCGATTCAATTCTCTCTCCCACTTAGGCAGAAACTGTGGTGAGGAGGGTGTTGGGTCTGCCACCAAAATGGCATGAGCCGTGGACACCCCACGCTCTACACCAGGGGCCTCAAACTCAATTTATTCGGCCACTGGACAAATTTTTTAGTCGCGTGGGGGCCGCTACTATATACGGTACCAGTGTTAATGTCTGCATATGTTACAAGCGGCAACTGCCACCCATTCAAATTAATGATCGGGTGACAGCTGCTGCATGTACACGCCTGCACACCGCATGTAATCATATGTGAAAGGATTACATGTAGTTAGGAATCTGTCACTATCAGTGGTTACACAATTGTTTATCCAGGGATAGTGATTGTTTTTGTAACCATGTAATCATATAACATACCATTACATGCGGTGTGCAGGCGTTGAATCGGTGTGCAGCGGCTGTCACCCGATCATTAACTTGAATGGGTGACAGTTGCTGCATGTAAGCGCCAGATTAGGGATTAAACTTCCTCCCTCCCTCCTTTCCTTCCAAGCCCCCTCACCTGCTTTCATCTGTGCACATCGTCGTTCCCGGGTGTTACTAATGATCCATCATTCGGCTGGAGCTCAGAACTGACACAGCTCCGGCCGGAGCTGACAGGAGCAGCTCTGCGGTCTGCATCCGTCGGAGATGCAGACAGTGTAGCTGCTCCCGCAAGTCTGTGTGCCTGACTTGTCAGCTGGCTGCGGACCACTTAGTACCGGCTTGCGAGCCGGTACTTTGAGACCGCTGCTCTACACCGTCCCCCTTCAGGCAAAGGGTCTCAATGTCCGATGGGGTCTCAGTTCTCAGCAGGCGGGATAGAAAGGAGTGCAATTGCATGGTCTGCCAGCGAGGTAGCGGCAGCGATATTTTGTTGGAGAGGGCAAGTAAGCCTGGGATGCCCTCCTCGGTCCAGAAATGTGCCACACGGAACCGGTTGGAGCGCAGTAGGCGCAAGAATGGGCCTTCTTCACTGCCTGGTGGAAAGGCCGGATTGCCTACCACTGGGCCAGCAGCGATGGTAAAGAAAGCTGGGGAATGATGCCTGGGGCATGTAAGGCCCGTAACATGGTACTTATGAGCGGGTGAGCGTGCATGTGCGTCGTGCTTTCCATGTGCAGCCAGAGTAGGCCTGCCATGGGTGGACTGTGGCAGGCCTACTCTGCCTGCTCGAGATGTATCCACCGTTTGTCTGACGCCCGGTTATAAAAGCTCGGGCCATATGAATTGCTGTCAGATATCTGGGAATCCGGGAATCCAATCCCCCCCCTCCATTTTGGTAAGGCCAATAGGGTCTTGCTCAGACGGTGGGCGCTATGGGACCATAAAAAGGTAATGAACTCCCGTCTCACCTGTTTGAGGAAGGCGTTTGGGATGGAAACTGGGAGTGTCTGCAGTAGATAGAGCAGCCGTGGTAGGATGTTCATTTTGAGGACGCTGTTCCTACCAAACCAGTAGAGCATGCCAGAGGTCATCTCGGAGCACTGATAAGAAGGAAGGGAAATTGGCCTCAAAAATCTTATCCACCATCGGGATGATATTGGTACCCAGGTACGAGATGTGGGTCGTAGCCCAACGGAACGTGAATGCAGATTGAATGGACCTAGGTGTTGCGGCGCAACGGTTAGATTAAGGGCCTCTGATTTTTGAAGTTGATTCTGAAATGTGAGACCTCCCCGTAGAGCCGGAGTTCCTTCATCAAATTCGGGAGATAAATCAGGGGTCGAGTAACGAAAAACAGCAGGTCATCTGCGTACCCTGCTATCTTGTGGGACAAAGGGCCCTCATGCAGACCAGAGATGTCCCGATGTGCCCTAATCCTGCAGAGCAGAGGTTCCAACGTAAGAATAAAGAGTAATGGTGACAAGGGGCAACCCTGTCTCGTGCCATTGGAGAGGGAGAAATAATGCGAAAAAGCTCAGTTTATGCGCTCCAAGTAAATGGCCGAGCACCAGGCACACATATTGGGACGCAACCCAAAGGCCCTTAGATTGGCCGACAAGAAAGACCAATTTACTCGGTCATGCGCTTTCTCTGCGTCAGTGGAAAGCGGGATAGTGTTTGGTCGTGGCCCAGTCGCGTTAAGGACTCTGGTGGTATTATCTTTGGCCTTCCTACAGGGCACAAAGCCCACTTGGTCTGGATGAATGAGCCGGGAAATGACTGGGAGGAGGCGGTTTGCCAGTATCTTGGAAAATAGTTTCAGGCCTACTTTATAGGCCGATAACTAGAACATAAAGTCCCTACTTTATGTTCTAGTTATCTTTGCCCTCTTTCGGGATGACTGTTATAGAGGCATGCAGGGAATCTACCGGGAAGGGTCGTCCTGACAGTATAGAGTTGTAGGCGAAGAGAAAAGGCACCCTTAGGGATTCCTGAATGGTTCTAAAGTAAAGGAGGGAAAATCCATCCAGACCAGCTGGCTTCATTTTTTTCAGAGGGATTTCATGGCCTTTGCCTCCTCCCCCGTAAGACTGGGCAAGTCCGACTGGGTCAAGTAAGTCTGTATAGCCTCTACCGCCAACGCCAGGGATTTCCCGGGCTTATTGCCATGTTCATAGAATTATCTTTTTGCTTTAATTTTGCCCAGCAGAAGATCTTGGAGGTCACGCCGTGCCTCCGCAATTCCGCCTCAACTGCCCTAGCAAGGGATTGTTTATGCCGCAGTTCCAAAGTTTGAATCTTTGTGAGCAGATCGGCCAAGGATAGTGCCCAAGATTTCTTGATGCAAGTCGCTTGTGAGATAAGAATTCCGCGGATAAAGCATTTATGAGCCTCCCACACCGATAGCAGAGGAGAGTCAGGAGAGCTATTAAGAGTAAAGAAGTGGGAAAGCTCCTGACGCACTAGTTCCTGAAAGACCACATCATCAAGTAGCGTTCCATTCAGAGTCCAATTCCATGGCCCCAGAGCCTCCTTGTGAATCGCCAACTCCATCAATATCGGGGCATGATCTGATACCGAGAGAATGTCAATACTCGCGGCACGCACCCTATGTAAATCTCCCTGTTTGATCAGGAAATAATCGATGCGCGAGTACGAGCGATGTGCCGCAGAGTAAAACGTATAATCTCTATCTCTGGCGTGCAGAAGACGCCATACATCCACCAGATGGACTGCTTGCAGAATCTGCCGAAACCGTTTCAAGATTTCAGGATAAGTGCGAAGCTCCCCGGGAGAGACATCCAAGCCCGGGTCAGTCGCCACGTTAAAGTCACAGGGCACCAACCCCTCTGCAAAGTCCGATAGGGAAAGCAGACATTCTTTCAGGAAGGAGATTTGGTTAGAGTTGGGGCGTATATATTGACCAGTGTCACAAGCTTGCCAAAAATCCGGCCTTTCAGGAACAGAAAGCGACTGTCCCTATCCGTGCTGGTGGAAATATAATGCCACCCCGTGTTCCTTGCTAATAGAATGCTCACCCCCCGTGCCTTGACGTCAACGGCCGCATTATGGTACGCATATGTGTACCTACCATCCGACAGTTTTGGGATAGCATCCCGCCTGAAATGGGTCTCCTGCAAAAACGCCACCTGCTTACAATGTCTCCAGAAATCGCCTAGCAGAAGACTGAGACCTCTTCTCCGGAACGTTCAGACCCTTTACATTCCATGGTAAGAATTTGGTCGGGTCCGGTCGGCCTGCACTATCCCCCTGCTTCGCCATACGGGAGGAAAAAACACAGGCTCAGAAAGAGGCAAGAACGGGAAGAATAGAAGGAATAGAGGGAGAACAAGGGGAAGGATTGATTAGAAGGAGCGTGGAACAGGAAAAGAAGGAGAGTTGGAGGGACGGCACACCACAGGAGACAACAGGGGATACTAAAACAAAACAGCCTTCTGCTTGAAAGCACGAAGGAACCTAAGTGGGGGAAAAAGTAAGCAAAGGAGCCTGAGAGATGCTACCTTTGGTACCGTGAAGTATATCAAATATGTGAAATATAAACACAAACGACTTGCAGGAAAACTTTTGATAACAGTTAACAAACCTTAAAACATTATGGCATCTGTCACATAGAGAAGACACATTAAACAATGTATTGGGACACCCCCAACCAGCTACAAACGAACCCCGATATCAGTAGCAATCTAGGGGCTGGCGCGCCACTAACCCACTGTAAGACCATGCCTAACGGCAGAGTTACGACTGCGCATAGGCCTGTTCACCACATTTGCGGGAAGCAGCGGCTACTGCGCATGCGCAAACGGCAGCTACTGTGCATGCGTAAACGGCAGCTACTGCGCATGCACAAACGGCACATGGCGCACAGGAAGTGACTTGCTCTGTCTGGGAATGATCCTATTTAAGCTGGCCCAACTCCCAGGATCTTTGCTGAGTGGTCTTTCAGCTTTAGTGTGTATTCCTGCATCTTGCCTGTTGCCATATCATCATCGACCGGATTCCTTGACCTTGCCTGATTGCCACCTGCCTCCGACTTCTGCTTGTCCCTGGATTGTCCTTTGCCTTCTCCTTTTGTACCTTGCTGCCCGATTGTTGCTGACCCTGGCTTGCCTGACTCCGCTCTGCTCCAGCCGCATCAGCACCTGCTTCCTGCCTCACTGAAGACGGGCCTCAAGGACCTGCCCAGGCCCAGTGTCCTGCATCGTCCGGCACCGGTGCTGCCCGTAGTTTCCCCACCTCCTGTCTCCACATTCAGGGGTGTGGAACTCGTGCTGCAAAGGAGGCCTTTAAAAAGAGTAGGCAATTAAACCACTACCTGTCTGACCCATTTCTAACAGGCCTCGGGGTAGGGCAGGCTATGGCCTTTCAGGTGCTGCACTGCGAGCTCCATATTCTCACTCAAGCTAAGGCAAGCCCATGCGCCCCTGAGTGATAGAGAGCCGGGGGCAGCCCGAACCGGGAGGTCGGGCTCTCGACATGGAGGCCCCCCCTCCCTGCCCACCCAGGGCCGCCCCCGCGGCTACATGTCCCCCACCCTCGTGAAATAGGCGAGCATTTACCCCCCGAGTCTCAGGATCGAGCTTCCGCCGTCCTCTGTAGGTTGGGTGCCCAAAAGTGGCCTCCCTCTGTGTACTCCCGAGGGAATCCCCAGCCCAGCGTGGTAATGTTGGCAGACTGCATGAGATCCACCCATACTATTGGTCTGTGCTCCCCCTCGGAACCCTTGAAGCCTCCCCCCACAACAATGTCTCCGCCCTCCCATGACTGCACCACCGCCCATCGGTACCGTCGCCCCCCTCCTCGGGCTTCTCCACCCCTTCTTCAGAGCTGCGAGCCCCGTCTTCATAACATTTTAGGGAGTTGGAACTTCCCCGTGAGCTTGGATTGAGAACTGATTTGGACTTTCTAATTATTCAAGAATGGGAGCTGGAACAGGCATACGAAAGACTGTTCGACACTGCTCAACAGCTACTAACCCCAGCAGAAGAGCTGGCATCAGGGCAGCTCTTTGGTGCTGACCTCTGCCCAGCACCAAAAGCACCTCTGAAGCTCCATGGAGCTGGGGCAGGCAGCCCCTCTCCCCAACAGGAGGCCGATGCAGTGGAACTGCACCAACTCAACAACAACAACCTCAACAGCTGAAGAGCTGGCATCAGGGCAGAGCGTGGCTGACCTCTGCCCAGCACCGGCAACACCTCCGGAACTCCAGGGAGCCAGGCCTGGCGGCTCCACTCCCCAAGGGCAGGCTGATGCAGTGAAACTACTGACCCCAGCTGAAGAGTTGGCATCAGGGCAGAGCACCGCGGGCCTCTGCCTACAACAATCGGTGGCTCTGTGCAAGGCCACCAAAGTTACATTTTACTTCCCAGCTGTCAACAGGGCAGAGTGCTGCTAGCCTCTGCCCCACACCCATAGCCCTCCTGAAGCTCCTGGGAGAGATGGTGGCCAACCCCATTTCCTCGTCACCATCTTCAGACTTGGGGGACCCTATAGATTTGAATGCAGAGGAACCGCTGTCCCATGCAGCTGAAGAGCTGGCAACAGGGTTCCAGGGAGAGGAGGCAGACGGTCTGAGTGAGTTCCAGGGAGAGAAGGTAACCGACCTCTCTCCCCAGCAGCAGAGTGAGTTCCAGGGAGAAGAGGTAGCTGACCTCTCTCCCCAGCGGCAGATGAAGTTCTAGGGAGTAGTGGTAGCTGACCTCTCTCCCCAATAGCTGAGTGAGTTCCAGGGAGAGCAGGTAGCCGACCTCTCTCCCCAGTGGCAGATGAAGTTCCAGGGAGAAGAGGTAGCCAGGGAGTGAGTGCCAGGGAGAAAGGGCAGCCAACCTCTCTCTCCAGCAGCAGAGTGAGTTCCAGGGAGAAGAGGTAGCCGACCTCTCTTCCCAGCAGCAGATGAAGTTCCAGGGAGAAGAGGTAGTCAACCCATTGGCAGATCAGCAGTCCGGGAGGGGAGGTGACCGTTTTCCCTCCCCAGCAGCAAATTGGGATACAGGGAGAGGAGGTGGTCATTATCCCTCCCCAGCACCAGTTTGGAATCCAGGTAGAGGAGGAAGCCGTCCTCCCACCCCAACAGCAAGCCATAACTGAGGATGTGGTTTCCCCAGCAGAAGTGCTGGCACCAGGGCAGAGCACCACTGGCCTATGCCCTGTACTGTAGTCTGTTCCAACCTTCATGGGAGAACAGGAACCCGTCCTCTCTTCCAGCAGGTGGCTTTGGGGTCTGGGAGAAAATACCGTCTTTACTTCTCCCCAGAGGATGTTTTTCAGAAAGGCACAGACAACATCTCTCCCCAGCAGCAGAGGCAGGGGGTCCCATGGAGGGAATATGGGGATTCATACTGCCCGACTAACGGAAGTCCAGACCAGTTGGGAGACTGTGACCTGGTTAGTCTACCATTGGAGAATACTCCAATGGTAGACTAACCAGGTCACAGTCCACCAAGTGAAGGAATCAAGGAAGAATACAGCGGTGTACATACTCATCCTGAGTACTGGGGTCTGTCACAGTGACCAGCTCCACCATTTCTTCCTGTGTCATAGAAGTTGCCCTTTGTTTTTTGCCTGAGGTTGTTTCTGGACTTGAGGCCTTGCTGCTGAGACGTGTTTTATCTCTGCTCCAGCTCTTTGTTCTGATCTCTGTGTCGACTGGATTTCGACTGGACCCACATGAACCTACGATCGTTAATTCATGCAGCCGACACCGTCTGGAGATCGGTCAGTATACTGTGACATGTGCATGTTGTAGTGTGTCAATGAGTTCCAGGGAGTTTGGATGTATGTATATGTGTGCTCATGAACACTACATCCTCCCCCTATTCTGCATGCGTGTTTGTAAATGCACCTCACACAGCCGTAACAATAGGAGCGACCCCAGTGTCGGATGCCCTTTGAAACACCAACATTGAAACACCACACGATTTTCAGGCCGCAGCAAAAAGGCCTGCAGTGTGTGTAAATAGGCCTCCTTAAAAATAGGCTTGGCATGCTGAAAGGCAGGCTGAGTACAAAAGGCAAACTGAGAGCCTGCCTAGACCAGATGCATTGGCATGGGAATGTGTACATAAAAAGATGTATGCACGTGGTTACACATACCTGAAACTTATTTCTTTGACTCCTGTATGCCCTCTGCTCTCACATGTGTGAACCAACTCAACAACCATGTAAATGGATATGTCTTGTCACATACTGTATATGTCTTGGTATACCTGTACCAAATGGCCACGTTTGTGATTACTGTGTGAATATGTTTGACGGAGGCCTTTCATGGCCATATATTGGATCTTACTGGATCTTGTCTATATCAAGTGACAAAGGGAGGGAAGTTTTCCCATCAGAGGTGTCAATGGGAGGATTCAAGGGAGCGTTGAAATCACCTACCAGTACGATCATGCCCTCAGCAAAGTCTGTGAGCAAAGAGATGCATTACTGGAGGAAAGAAGCATGACAAGTGTTCGGAAGGTACACTGCCGCTAAAGTAATCGGTGTCTGACTGAGCGTTCCTTTCAATACAAGTTACCTGCCCTCGTGATCCGATAGGGTATCCGACAGTTGAAAGGATATTGACCTGTCTATCAAAATGGACACACCTTTGGTCTTGTTAGTGGAGGCGGTCGCATGATAGGGAGGGATCTGCCCCTTGCGAAAGTGAGTTTCTTGAATAAATGCTACTGAAGCTTTAGCTTTTTTTAATGTCACCCAGCACCGTGGACCTTTTTTCAGGTCCACAGATGCGGCATGCATCTTAAGAACACCGTTAGTTCCCCTAGCAGTCCCCTAGCATCTTAAGAACACCGTTAGTACATTGTGGCCGCGGAGAAAGCATGAAGAGTGAAAGCAAGGAAGTAGTTTAGAGGAGGAAAGATGGGGGGAAGAAAGAAATAGAAAAGCTACAGGAAAACGGAAATGTAAGCAACTACACCGCAGATAGGTTTACAGACCTATCACTTGTGGTCGGTTCTCTCACAGCGTTATGGAAACCTTAAGAACACTGAGAACCTAGTTTTACACCCAAATGTGTTGGATGAACGGGGTTAGTTAGGAGGCACCAGTAGCTGTACGTAACCTCTAGAGTCACACAGCCTTCTCCTCACTCGGGGGGAGATGGGCTTGGTACTGACTTCTACAAAAACATATAAGCCTAGCTTCAAACATACATACACCTAACTGGGTCCTGAAAAAAAATAGAAAAATGTGAGTTATCGGAAACTCATCCGATATTATCTATCTATCTGCCCACTCTGACACCTCTGCAATCAGTGCACGTATATTCCCTGAGGCATAATATAAACCATGGTGTGGGTAGCTGTGTCTGCACACATCAAACAGTTGCCTACCAGGAAGGAACTTTCCTCTCTTGTGGGAGGAGTCGGGGTTCTAGAATTATTCTAAACTTAGATGAAAACACAACCATATCATCGAAAGTCATACATTCAAAAGCATACCATACAGTGTATGTAACTAAGCCCCTGAGGTTAGGCTGCATCAAAAGTATTCATCCAGTGTTGGGGCGCACCAGGACACACGTGCACAAAACCCCCAGCCGGGTGGTTCTCTGTTGGGGCACAGGTTCTGGGACGCTCCAAGCAAAAAGGTAGTGGAGCATTTGAGTTTGAGTTTCCTAGTAGTGACAAATGCACAATGATAATGCAATAACGGTCTATCAGCTGTCATACTGTGTGGATTGTCTGGA